GGGGCTGGAGCCACAGCTTCACCACGGGGTGCACAGCAAGGCAGTCCCCAAATGCCCTGCAAGCCCTGCGGGTTGAGGGGACGGGGCTGTGCATTTGCAGCTCTCAGTTTCTCTTTCTGCGGTTTCTTTTTTTGTTTTTCCTTTTTTTTTGTGTGTGTATTGTTTAGCATATTTCTCCCCTCCCTTGCACAAGCTCCGGCCCCCACCTTGCCTGGCCACGAACAGGTTAAGTTTCCTGTTGCTGAAAACAGGATTTCCTGGTGTCAAAAGGCTGAATTCGCAGAAGCGCCTGGCTGGGAGGACGACTTTTCTGAAACTCCGCTGCCCACGCTCCCGTAAGCCGGGTTCCTCCATGGGGCAGCCAGAAGGAGGGGTGATGCGCCGGCGTCCCTGCTCACCGAGTGGGTCGCCGGCGATGATGCTGTACTCCACTTGCCCGCTGGGTCCCGAGTCGCCATCGTGGGCCAGGAAGGTCCAGACGCGTGGGCCAGGCTGCCCTTCCGTGACGTCAAAGGGACCTTCGTACGGCCGAGGGAAGGTGGGACGGTTGTCGTTGATATCATTGAGGTTCACCAGCACCTGCGGTCAGGGTGAGAGGGTGGAGGGCAGGGAGAGGAAAGGGATGGAAAAGGAGACTAGCCCGCTGGCCGTGAGCATGGGAAGCCACGGACGGGTGACATTGCTCCCGTATATCTGGCTTTCCTGGATTCACAAACATCCAGCTCACAGTTCAGCGACTCAAACTCGGTTATTCCCGATCGTGCCCGTCCTACAGCGACACTATGAAACTCCGGCTGCACACAGGTGGGGCCTTTTCAACCTCTGGGCCACACACCATGGTGGAAAAGTCAAGGCAAAAGCCAAACGTTCCCCACTCAGAAACCCAAGCTGGACAGACAAAAATCACAGACATGGATTTGACCACCAAAGCCATGAGTTTGGAGAGACCCGATCTCTGCAGCCAGCTGCACACTTGCTCACTTCTCCTCCTCCACAGGGCTGCCGATGAAGCCGGGGATCAAATGAACTTGAGTCTTGCCTTTTAACTGAGTCACACTACATAGAAGACATTTATATAGCTGTATACTATACTGCAAAGAGGGTTATCCCCTTGCTAAGCTTCAGGGAACTTGCACAGTGGAGAAATCCTGCCTGAGGAGGAGAGTCTCCAGTGGCTAATAAAAGGCTGAGCTTCGGTGGTACAGATTAATATGAGAAAGATACTGAAAATAAGGAGCTTTCCTACCTCTGGGCTTAAAGGACAGTAAAATCCATCAACTGGGCATTTGGTACTGGCTAAATCTAATCTTTACAGAAGAGTATATCTGAGTCTCTGCTCCATTTCCTAGCAGTGGAGAAAACAAACACTGGCACGCCTTATCAGGGTGATGGATTTCCTATCACTTGGGATCTTGAATAATCACTAAAACTCCTCCTAAAAGCTATGTTTTCATACAGTGCTGGCACAAATTCCCTGGGCCG